AAATACATTGTCCTATGAAGGATTACAAATATATTATTCTTATGGATTAGAATCATTACGAACACTACCTCTGTATGAATGAGGTTACTAAGCCGATTGGATCACGGCTAAAGAACTTATGAATACAAGATGATCTCCAGTGGGAGGAGATACTACTCGTTTGAGAAAGCCCCAGGAGGAGGGGCGAAACGCGTCACGGGACCAGGAACAAGGAAGTGGTTACAGCTTGTACACCGGCAAGAATAACTACAACCAGAGGGAGGAAGACGGCGGTTATTGCTTCACTGCCCATGGGTTGGTGAGCAGACGGTGGACTTTGCATTGTTTTGCTGCTAAAGCTTTTTTAATATATCAATAAAGTTTTTTTACCTGTTACCCGGGTCACCAGAGTATCTATTGAATCCCATGTACTCTAGGGGCTGATCCTCCCTGGGCGTTAAAGCTTTGAGCGGGGCTATTACCACTCCTAATTTGTGAGTTTTATTCTTTCAGAGGGTTCAAAGTCTTTTATATGATTTTAATAACTTTATCGCACTAGGAGTGCTTCTTTTGTCCCCATTTGTCTCCTATTTACAGAAACCATCGGTGCATACTTACAGGCTGTAAGCATATGCACATGTGAGTTTGTTATGTGTTTTTAATGTGGGATAACACCAGTTCCACTTGAGATGTTTTTTTTTTTTTTTTTTTCGCACCAGCACTTTTTGTTATCTACTATCTGTACCCTATTACCAAGGTTTAGAGCGGGTGCAGCATATCTGCTTACATTTTGTTTTACTCTATATTGTTGCGCCAACTTATCTATATTGTATATTGATTTATGATCTATAGCTTCAAATGATTTGCTCTCAGCTTGCATATTGTGTTAGATATGCTACATATATAAGACATGCGTATATAACTAGATGCATACTTGCAAAAACAGAATATTCAAGGATATAATCTTTCAATGTAGGGTAATAACTGCTTGATCCAAGGAGAAATCTGACTGCCATTCTGAGGTCAAGAGGGATTTCTTTCTTTCTTTTGGATCAACAGCAAAACCGCAAAAAACAAGTGTGAGGAAGGCTGAACTTGATGGACACATGTCTCTTTTCAGCCTATGTAACTATGTAACTGTAACTATATACTATAAATCATCTGTATACCATATACCGTATATAACATCTGGTCTCGCTATGGTCTTCATTATTCATTTTATCGATTATCTTAGACTTTTGTGTTCAATTTATATAATTGGCCATTAGTTATTTTTAGTGATGTCCCGAACGGTTCGCCACGAACGGTTCGCCACGGATTCATCATTGAGTAAACTTTGACCCTGTACCTCACAGTCAGCAGACACATTCCAGCCAATCAGCAGCAGAACCTCCCTCTCAGACCCTCCCACCTCCTGGACAGCTCACTAAGAATGCAGCTTCACAATGAATGTAAAATGGATGCTGTCCAGGAGGTGGGAGGGTCTGCTGCTGATTGGCTGGAATGTGTCTGCTGACTGTGAGGTACAGGGTCAAAGTTTACTCAATGATGAGTCCGCGGCGAACCGTTCGTGGCGAACCGTTCGCAAACCGTTTGGCGAACCGTTCGGGACATCACTAGTTATTTTACTTTATATTTTTTGAAAATCTTGGCTGTATGGTAGATATTAAGTGGAGTTATACATTCTACTCTGTGGCCTGGTGTATGTAAATTATTTAAAACCATGATACATTCCTGAGTGCATCTGAATGTTAATTGGCTTCCCTTAATATATATTATCATTGACAGGTAAGCCTGCCTTAAGCCCTCTACCTCCATGTTTAACTCCAGCAAAGTCCATTGTACTTTTATCACTCCTAAAACACAGACTTGTTGCCCTGTGGTTCTCTGCAATTTCAACCTCTCCTTCAACCCTTACAACCATTATAAGACCAAATCCCATCTCTTCCACCTTAAAAAAACAGCTCCCCCCTAACAAACACCAACCTGTCTATGGTGCTTGCTCAAGCCACAATCATCCCCCACCTTGGCAACTCCAACCTGCTTCTCACTGGTCTTACATGCTCACAGCTACCGTCTAGAATAAACACTGTGGTGAGCCTCATCTTCTTGTGCTCTCTCTCAGGTCTCCCGACACCCCCCTCTGTTAGTCCTTACATTGGCTTCCTGTAAGATATAGAGCTCAATTTAAAATTCTGGTCCTCGTTTACAAATCTCTTTATAACACTTCTCCTGTTCGTTTAAATCCACTGGTTTTATTGCATTTTGTTTGTTAGTCCACTTATAGTGAGAAATATGTTAGTGCATTATAAATAATACCAAGTTTATAGGACAAGATGCAATACATTTAGTAATATCAAAGTAGCAAGGTTATATGACTAGAGCACCACAAACTAAACTTTTCAACAGACCCTTAATAATAGGGGTTACGTGTAATTCAAGAATTTTATATAGATGCAATTTGACTAATCGGATGTCAAAGAAGGCCAGTAAGTCTCACTTCTGTACTGAGAAAACCCACAGTTAGTGTGGACGAAATACTGCATTGCAGAGATTGAATGTTCTAGAAGGTTCCTTTAATCAAGAAGAAAATAATGTTAAGAGAATATAATATAAATGTTACGGAGGTTTTACATTTGGATGGATGGTAAATATCCAAATATTGGTTAAAAAAAAAAGTAAACTTGCTCAAAATGTCATGGCATGGATCTGTATAATTTATTTAGTAATCAGAAATGTTATCATAACTTTACGTTCTCTGGTCAATTCTCATGAGTTCCTGATTAATAAGTAAATCCTTAGGATTACTTTATTTACTAAATAATTCGCTAGACGTGGTCAATAGAGTGTTGTGGTGAATGCAACATTTCTGAGAAAAGATTAATTCTTGTTAAATGTTCCAAAAAGATAAGTTTTGGGTCCTGTCTTTGTTCATATATTTACATCCCCCGCCATCTATTGCCCATAAATCCTAAGTTCCAGTTCTACGTGGAGGACTAGCCCTTAAACCTTTGCCAAATAATGTTCCTACATTAATTCCTGAGCAACTGTCAATTCTTATGGATGTTAAAAAAAAGTTAAGGTTCATTGGCAGTTGATGGTCAATAAAATAATATAATAAAAATGTATTATATAAAAATTAAAACACAATGTCCAGGTGCCCTAGCAGGTCAGAATTGGCTCTTATATCTTCTCTCACTTCACATATTGAGGGGATATGGTGATAGGGATGAAGAGGTGCTAGAGGATGCCCAATACACAGATCCAATTATGTGACAAGACATTAATAAGGTTATTTTTTTTTCAAAAAGCAATAAGGAACTGCGCTCAATCTCATCACTCTGAGCTAGGATGCAACCAAACCAGGACCAAGCACCAGGTCCCAATAACAATAAGCATGAAATACAAAAATGGTTTAGGCACTCCAAGGTTCAGAAATGGCAAATTTAAGCCCAATGTCACACAATGTTTTGACCTGCACAGTCTTTATCAAGCTTGACAAAGACAGTGTAGGTGGAAACGTTGTGTTACATTGGGCTATAATAAATTTGCCATTTCTGAACCTTGGAGTGCCTAAACCATTTTTGTATTTCATGCTTATTATCAAGGTTATTAACAAAAGTGAATTTTAAATTTAAAGCCCAAATAGCTGAACTGGGAGCCCAACTGAATTCTTCCAGTTCAGTTTTCTTGGCCTTAAATTTGAAATTAACTTTGAATGCTCACTTTAGTTCATTGGCGAGATCAGCTGCCGATCACTCTCAGTCAATGGAGCTAACGGAAGTGCACTGTTGTGTTTATGGTGCCTGGAGTGTTCCTTTAAGATCACTCAAAACTTACTTACTTATGAAGGCCCTGGAAATAAAAATAAAAATAAAAAAAAGGTTTAGCAGTGCTTGTACTGTTTCTAGCGTTCTAGACCATTTAGCCACTGGAGCCCTGCTTGTTTATATCAACCTTTTAAATTAGTTAACCCTTTCAGTGATGATAGACTGATAAGCCATTTTATCACCCCAATGTGGTGGATTATATGGTAAGTCCTCCACAGTGCAAATCTTAGCTTGCAAGTGTTTTAAGAAAATGAAGAATTCAAGGTCTTGCTCCACTGAGGATTGTCAGCCATGACAGCTTCAGGTCGGTGAGTAATGCCACAATGAGGGACACAATGCAAGGAAGTGCATTTAAACAATTGGCTCCTTGCCCAGGTGTAGTGTTGGCAGAAGTCGTAATGCCCACGTCTCTATGAGAAGTAGGTTTGGGTGTGCGCTTGAGCCTTGTTAAAATTAAATTTAACATGGTGGTGTCCCCTTTACCCTTTACTGGTAGTAAAATCTGAGATTGTTTTAATACCTCTTTCAAACTGTATTTTTTTTATTTAGAATCGTGAAAACTAGTGTGTAGTCTATAATACTTAAAGGATCACTATAGGGTCAGGAACAAAAACATTTATTTTGACCATATGGTGAAAACCCACCATTTAGGTGACTCTCCCCCCACCCCCTTCAGCCCCCTCAGAATGGGTTAAAACTCACCCTATTTTCAGCTCTCCACGGGTCCGCCAGCGCTGGCCCTGACCCCTTGGTGACATCATCAAAACTGCAGATTTTTAGCTAATCCAATGCTCTTCCATGAGAAAAGCATTGGGTTGGCTAAAATCGGCAAGGGGGCAGAGCCAAACATAGTTTTGGCCAATCAGCACCTGTTCATAGAGTGTGGGGACGCTGAATGGCAGGGCTGCTTACAGTGCAGCACTGAGTCAGGAAGCCTCTCCAGTGGCCATCCAAGGAGTGGACATTTGGAGGTGTCCATAGGGGCAATGTAAACACTGCCTTTTCTCTGAAGGGAGCATTAAGCTGTAGTTGTTCTGGTGACTATAGTGTCCCTTTAAATTTAACATATATGCAATATTGTTATTTTTAAATTAAGAAAAAAAACTTTTTGTAATGATTTACAATCCTTCATATAGAACACAGAGTAAGTCAAAGAGAAACTGATAAACAATAAATAAAAGAGAACACAGATTTTATATTAGCTGTTGCTTGTTTAATGATTGCACCAATTTAAATAGAAATGCAGTCGGATCATTGTGAATATTTCCAGTATTTTGTAGGTTTAGCTCCTTTGCAGGTGAAAGACTTGATACACATAGCAAGGAGCTTCCTTGTCAAATTTGGGAATTGTAACAAAATTTGAGCAATAAAGTTGACAATTTGGAAACCAGTTAATAACTGCCTTAAACATTACCTAAATCACTTAGTAAAATATGATATTGGAAGCTATGCTTGGTGTAGTTTTAATATTTGTATCCGATTAGCCACAGGAGGCGATATGGTCAACCTTTTAATTGGACAACTGAAGCACCCTTCTAGCTAGACTTGTCTGTATCCTCTGATCATATTAATAACATTGTCAGAGTTATTTACTAAAGTGAGAATTCAAAGTAAATTCAGAGGGAACTTCACATTTAATAGAGTAGCAGAAATGAAATCACAGCTGACTTAGAGAATATTTCCTGTTTGGGTATTTTTACCCTAAATTTTAAATTAACTTTGAATTTTCATTTTAGTAAATAATTCTGATGATTTTTTTATGTTGGAAGTTAAAGTTCCAGTACAATCACAATATAAGTATTTATGAAGTGTCGTAAATGTTGGCCTCTGATCAGGTTCTACAGCTTTATTTTTTATTCCAGTCGGACAAAGTTCAATCATATTTATTTCATAAGTTTTGAAAAGCTGATCACAAGGCCGAAATGAATTTAATTAAAGCAACAGTGAGTGCCATGAAAACTGGGCAGCAGTGGACCTCAGCGCTGAGTGTACTGTGAGATTTGGAACAAGAAATTCCTAAATTCATTATTACTCCATCAATGTCGAAAGTCTGATTACCAAATGTGCAGATGGATTCTGTGGCACATCCACGTAGCTTAAAATATGATACTAAGTTTCCTGAAAAAAGAAGAAAAATAATGGTAGCATCATATAATGATATTAACTCACATAACACATTAACTCAGAGCTTGGGTAGAGTGGCAATGAGTGGGAAGGCTATATCTTGATGGTGGGGTATTGGGTACAACTTTACCCTACTAGCAAAGGAATAGGATGAGATAAGAGATAACGAATGAGAATAATAGGAGAGAACATAATGAAGGGAAAAAGTTGTATTCAAGAGTACAACGACTGTCCTAAAAAACAAGTGACGGAAGGGAAAAGAGCAAACAGAAAGGGGTCTGTAACAGGCAGAACTCACAGAAGTGGAGATATTTGAGAAAAGCTAAACTGAAAGATGAAAAAGGGCATCACAGAGGAAACACGAATAGGAACTATAAAGGAGAAAGAAGAACGTGAAGGTGACCATACATGAATCGATTGAAAAAGCCCTTATATGTGGCGAAACGCATCTTGGACGACAACTGAAGCTTATGGACACCTGTAACTACTTGTTTTATATTTTTAAAGTTGTATCTATTAATAACTGTTATACCTCTTTTGGAGATAAAGTGATTTGGTTCTACTACTTATCTACCTGTGAAAGAAGGGTTGTGCCCCCTTAATCTGGCACAGAGTGCGTGAACCCAGAGCCAGGTCTTGTTAGCCTCTGGAAAAGGTGAGCAATTTCTTATAGTATTTAAGAAATATACTTTTACTGAATAAACTACACTAGAAGCTGTGTTTTTCTCCTTGGCTTTCTTTGAGTTCATCTGATGAAATCATAGGAAGAGATGAACTGTCACCGAAGTACACTCCTGCACAAGTGATATGAGCCTGTCCATATTGGCTCAAATTCATGTGAGTGTGACTACCGTATTTAATATTCATTAGTATCTGACATACTACACTATATTTGTTTTCCTTCTTTTCTCTTCACTTATGTACAACACTGGACAGATTTTATTGTCTACGTAAGGGTGAGTTTGTATTATATTAATCGCTCCACTAGCGCAGGGCCGGACTGGGAATTAAAAGCAGCCCTGGAAAAAAATATTTACCAGCCCCATAATGCGTCGCGCCAGCATAGTGTGCAGATACAGAGTTAGAACAGAGAACTTAAAATTAAAAAGTACTTCAACGTAAAAAGCACATTCATAGGCTTCAAAATAAACAAAAGTGCAGATTTATTTTAAGCAGACGTGCCTTTGAATGTAATCAATGTTTCAGTCCAACTACCTTGACATATTAAAGAAAGCTTGTTAATGGGACTGAAATGGTGAATGTATGTAGGGCACAACTGCAAAAAAAATTAATTTTGAAGTCCTGTGGGTATGCTCTTCACTTTAAATATGTTATTGTGCTGGAGTATGCACCTAGCAACAAGACTGGGCCAATATCTGCTCATTACATATGGTACATATTAATGAAATTTCTCTGTGTATTATGCATATATAAATGTACATTAATATGTATAAATATAATATATATATATATATATATATATATATATATATAATTAATATACACATTAATATACATGTCATATACCAGTGATGGATCCAGAGCCTGAGCCCGGGAGGGGCACTTGTAGATTATTTAAATAAATATTCCATGCACAATAACCACTACTCCTCTGTGTAGTGGTTATGGTGCCAGGAGTGTCGGCACCCCCTCCCAGAGTAAGTAGTCAAACCATTTAAGAACAGTTTGACAACTTACCTGGAGTCTGCTGGGATATGGGGCTGTAGTAGGGTATAGGAGCAGTGGTGCAATGTGTGAGGGGTGCAATGTGTGTGAAAGGTTCAGTGTGTGGGTGTGGGGGGGGGCAGTGTGTGAATGTGTATGGTGTGTGTGTGGGGGGGCAGTGTGTGAATGTGTATGGTGTGTGTGGGGGCAGTGTGTATGGTGTGTGTGTATGTGGGGGGCAGTGTGTGTATGGGGCTAGAGTTCACTCCTACTACTGCGACCACCAGGAAGTGGTGAGAGTGAACTCCAGCCCATAGCTCCAGGGCTAGAGTTCACCCTCGTGAGAGCCGGAGTGTTTCCCCGGGTCCTCTCTTTCTCCCCCTCACTGCTCCTCTGTGTCAATGTCTCCCCTCTCCTTCCCCCTCTGCCTCTTTCTTCACCTCCCCTTGTTTGTCTCTCTCATTTCTCCCTCTTTGTCTCTCTCTTCCCCCTCTGCCTCTTTCACCCCTGTAACGGCACCCCAGGGCATAAAAGGGTTAAACCGCCGTTTAGTAGATTTTCCCTTCCAGAGACACAGGCACAGCTACTGCAGAACACCAATCCGCCGAACAGGAAACCATATGAATGCTGTAAACAGCCGAATAGGAAAAACCATACGAATAGGTTTACACTCCTAGCAGTCAAACTGGAACAGCATACAATAAATCACCCCAAGAACGAGACAAGGCTCCGTTTTGAGGGTCAAGCAGGAACAGACAGAGCTGTGGGTTTATTGTGCTTATGTACACATTCTTACACATTAGTACCACCAACAGGGTTTTGGAACACAACCAATAAACACGTACAATACACTCAGACACTCCCACACAAAATCCTCCCCTCTGCCTGTGATACAATTACCTTACACAATGGGTAATGTAATTATAACAAGCAGATAAATACAATTTTTCCACATTATTCATAACTTGAAAAGTATGCATCACATTCACATTTTCAGAATCAGCATACTCCAAATACAAACATATGTCAAAATCATCCAAATTGGTCCAGTGGTTCAAAAGATAGATCGTAGTCCTTTGTGACCAAAGGAAGGATGGCTTTTCTGCCCAAAACCAGTTCCACAGAGTCTTCTATCCTGAAGATAATTGGGAAGTAATATAATTATCTCCAAAGACAGAGGCAAAACTCCATTGAATACATGGCAGCAAAAGACAATAAAACACATACAAATATATAACTGTGCAGCCATTGCACAAAACAGGTACATTCAACATATCCCCAGATAGCTCAGATCTGAGCGCACATTATTACTGAATGGTGCTCAGAGCACACATATACAGTTCAATTGCCATGGAGCCAAAGTCTTTCATTATACAAATGGGCTCCATGGCATAGGTATCTGGGGTATCACCGCTCAAACAGGGCAAGCACCAAATGACCCGGCTTTCATGTCTTTGCAGGGGAAAATCAAGCCTTTTAACATGGGGCCATAATAGATTGGTCTCGTCACAAGCCCCTTTCC